CCTTCCTCCCAGGTCGGTCTTCAAAGGCTCTGCTGTCTGTGTCTACTCCATGGCCGACATCCGCATGGTCTTCAACGGGCCCTTCGCGCACAAGGAGGGACCCAACTACCAGTGGATGCCCTACACAGGCAAAATGCCCTACCCCCGGCCGGGCACCGTAAGTACCCCCCAGGCACACGTGGGACGATGAGCCGGTGCCTGCCGGGCAGCCGGCGCCCTCGGACCCATGCCGGGATAGCGGGTCACCGAGCGCCGGTGACATTTGTGCCATAGTGCCCCGGGGGGGTTCCATGAAGTCAACCAAGGACTACCCTGACGAAGTGATCAACTTCATGCGCGCGCACCCGCTGATGTACCACGCCGTCTACCCCACCCACCGCCAGCCGCTGGTGGTCCGCACCAACGTCAACTACCGCTTCACCACCGTGGCCGTCGACCAGGTGGACGCGGCAGACGGGCGCTATGAGGTGCTTTTCCTGGGCACAGGTACCCACGCCGCGCACCGCGGGGAACGCAGCATGCTCCAGCGCGGACCCGGAGGGCACGGGCACCACCAGGGCTGGCCAGAGCACGGTGCCCTCCGCCATGCTGGAGCGGGATGAGGGGCTGAGACACCCCCCACCCTGAGATCCCTGCCCCTCCTCAAGGCTCCAGCTTGGTCCTTCCCCTGCCCTGGTGCCCATCCCACAGACCCCACTGCCCAGCCTGGTCCTTCCCCTAGCCCAGCTCCTGTCCCCAGGGCCAGCCATCCAGCATGATACTTCCCATCCTAGGGAGGCCACCATCCATCCTAGTGGGGCCACCATCCAGCCTGGTCCTCTCCCTGCTGCAGTGCCCATCCCAGGGGCCCCACCATCCATCTTCATCCTCTCCTGAACCCAGTGCCCATCCTGCAGATTCTGTGATCCAGCTTTGTGCTTCCCATCGCCCATCCTGAGCCCACCGTCATCCAGCCTCGTGCTTGCCCTGCCCGACTGCCCATCCTAGAGGCACCAGCAGCCCGCCCCGTCCTTCCCTGGCCCCAGTGCCCATCCTGGGGGCACCGTTGCCCAGCCTGGTGCTTCCTCTGCTCTAACGTGCATCCCAGAGCCCCCATGATCCATCCTGCTCCTTCCCCTGCCCCCTGCCCGTCCCTGGCTGCTGTCCCCACCCCTGCCCTGGGTGGTGGCAGTGACCTGAGCTGGTACGCCACACCCCAGCACGGCTGCCCACTGCAGCAGGAGAGAGATGGGGATGGGCTTGGGGGGTGGTCTTTCCTCCCTCCAGCCCCGGAAAGGACCCCCTTCCCAGGAGGGGAGGGCACGGTGCCCAGGGGTGGCACTGAGCACCCGGGCACTGCGGTGTCTTGCAGATCGGGGCACTGTGCAGAAGGTCATCGTGCTCCCCCGGGATGACATGGAGACGGAGGAGCTCATGCTGGAGGAGATTGAGGTGTTCAAGGTAAGGGCTGCCTGTCCTCCACCCTCTGCTGAGTGTCCTCAACCCAGCCAGACAGCCCCTTAGGACACCAGCCAACCCCCCTTGGGACACCAGCCACCCCCTTGGGACACCAACCACTCCCTTGGGGCACCAGCCACCCCCTTGGGACACCAACCACTCCCTTGGGGCACCAGCCACCCCTTGGCTGGCTCTGCAGGGACCCCAAGCATT